ATAATTTATTTTAAAAGCTTTAAGTTCCCACGAATAATATTTTTATATTGAAACAAAATTACTAAAATAGTTACATATTCATCTACGTTTAAATAACCTATTTGACAAAATTTGAACTTAAAATGTATTTAAAAAACTGAGTTTTTATATTTTTAAGAATTTTTAGTTACAATATGAACTATACTGTTATATGAGAATCTTTTTTTTTGATTTTTCAAACCTTTATACCCATAATAATTGAATTATACATTTTTAAGTTTTGACTACAGAATATTTTGCAAATGTTCGAAATTGTTGATGATGTTTGTCAAAATTTAAGCAGTTTTAAGCTTTAAATGCTTATTWAAAAAAATCGTACCTATACACATTATGACGATTTAACTGATATTATTAAAAGTTAGAACTAGTCTTATATTTAAATGATTTATGAATTTCTAACTCAAAATAATTGACAAATTTTCGAGATTTTGATGAATTATTTAGGTGTTTAATTCATGTTGATTTTATATAATTTAAACTAAATAAACTACTTACTTCTTAAAACAGTTATTACTTATCGCTGTTGTTTTATTTTATTTCATTTATGGCGAATTATTATTGTGTGTAATCTTACAAATTAGTAATAACTATGGCCATGGCCATCATTCATGGCAGTTGACATGCTTACCATGAAACGTGCATGCTTATGTCTGCATATTGTTATTACTGTTACCTATTAATTATACCCGACGACCATGTTGCCGTTTTAAGATAGGTCATAGGTAGGTGGTATACCTACCGATATCTATAATTGTACAAAAATCTAATTTGTATTATTGTCTATTGATTACTTATTAGTTCATGGTTAAACTATATACCTAGTTGATAAATAAATCAGACGATTCAGATGACCTACCTACATAATAATATTGTCTTGACGATCTCGTTGTTGCAACCACCCAGCGTTACCTGCGCCAAAGATGTTTTTTTTTTTATAAATRTATTTGTAAAAATGTATAAATGCAATATGCAAATACAATATTTCTACGAATTACGTAGTAGTATAATATATAACCATGGCCCGAGGGCAATGGCAATCATAATTAAGGTAAAACGTAAAAATACAAACATTATTTTTTCGCGAGCTGAAAAACAATTCATGTGTGTGTGTGATGACTCGTGTGAAACTGTGAACTATACTCTATAAGGATGGAAAAATAAGTTATTAACAACTTTTAAGTCTCAATGAATCTATACATATTATTATTCTATATTGATATAACTTTTATAGAAAACAGACACATTATTTAATATTTTTCATTATATTTATTTAAATTCAAAATTATAAATAGATTTATTATCTGTGACCAATGACAACCCGAAAATCTCTAAGAAAAATTGAAATTTGAATACAAAATTGGTTGAATAATTTTTTCAAACAAAGGGTGAAAACCCTTTCTTAGTGTATCCGCCTTTACCAACTATATGATGTGAACGTACCAAAAAAATCATGAAGTTTCAAGCTAGGAACATGCTCTGCTGTACCTATAGTAATTATATAGTAGGCACTAGGCGCGTCTAATGTTTGTGTGGAAATTTTTCTAATACGAAAATTTTTTGTGCATACATTGTTTACATGTTCAATATATTCATTCAAAAAAGGTTTAAAAATAACATTAAAATATTTTTTTACCTTACATTATTAATTCAAAATAGGTTTACATAACTTAACATGACATATATATTTTTGTATATTTTTGTACCCATTAGATAATCCATATTATAATGTTCGATAACGACAAGTTATCGATATTATTTTAAAACGTGTTTCCAATTATTGTGTTGTGTGTGATTATAAGTGTGTGTGTGTGTGTGTGTGTTAAAGATTTTACAGATTACAAAATATGTATTTTTTTTACGAACAATATATTACGTATATTGTCGTATTCGAATAATTGTCACGCGATAAATTGTCGCGCGAACTATTTTCGGCGAAAAATTGACTTGATACCGTTCAGAAAAGATATTTTAAATATTTGGTAATAAAATTTCAATTGGATTTTTGGGTAGGTATTAATGCCATAAAATGTACATATAATAAAATGAAAGAAAGTGTAAAACAAATTAAAACGAATCCAGCGGAAATATATGCCGAAAATGTGAAGACTTTAGACCCACAATCACAAGCTAGAGTTCCACCTGAACCTATAATGAAACGAACAATACGTAATCAAAGAAAAACGAAACATCCTGCAGCTATAGTGGAACTAATATAGAGGGAGAGTTGTACAACTGGAAATCCGGATAGTAAAAGATTACTTTTGTTGACGATGGTGACGATGAAGCACGAAGATAGGTTAGTTATTTTTGCAACCGACGATAAGGACTTGAAAATTTATCCAAGTCTGATGAAAGGTATATGTAGGTACAGTAATTTTGCTTTGCCACCTAAAGGTTTTATGCAGCTTTATGTAATATAGTAATAATTTTTGTTACTGCCGTTTATTACTTACTCACTAAAAAACCCAGTGTWCTTACGAGAGAATATTAAACTGTTTACTGGAAAAATATGCAAAGAAGAATATTTTTCTTGACCCTACGTACGTAAATGTTGATTTCGAAAAAGCAGTTATAAATGCAATAAAAAACGATTATAGGTGAACACGTAGAGGTTACATTCAAAAAATGGGATTTACAAATGATTATAAAACGGATGAAGAATTGTCTGCATTTTGCCGACAATTGTATGCATTAGCATTTTTACCATTATGTGATGTAGCTGAAGGAATGATATACTTAAAAACTATAATGMCAGAAAAAGGTTCAGCTATATTAGAATATTTCGACAATACTTATGTACATATAGAAGAATTAATTCGATACAAGATAATAGCATACGTTTGATGAATTGTCCACCCTTATTTCTACCTCACGTATCTATGGAATGTCCATAATATCACAATGAACGATGGTGATCGGACCACTAATGAAACTGAGCCACTAAGGGATGGAATCATAGATTTTCAAAGTTAGTGAGCCATTGCCATCCATCTATATGGGTATTGATAACGAAAATGTCGAAAATCCGACTGGAGCAGGTAGCGAATTACGAAACAAAATTAGCTCAATATGCGTTGGGAGCATTTGAGCATTACCAAAAAAAAATCAAAGATGCAGTTATAAAGTAAATTTA